ATGGATAACATAAGGAACCAAACACTTTAAACATTGTGTAATCAGGTGAGCGGTGAAAGAGGCATTCATATGGAGAACGATTACGGAGAAGTTTGGAGGGCAATCTATTAATGGTATAGACAGCTGTGGAAAGAGCTTCAGGCCAGAATTGATTTGGTAATTGAGAATGAAACAGAAGAGCACGTATAGTTTCTAATAAATGTCTGTGTTTTCGCTCAGAGATTCCGTTTTGATGTGGCGTATAGGGGCATGTTCTTTGATGAATTATACCAGAAGAGTTTAGATAAGATTTAAAGTGGTGATTTATGTATTCACCGCCCTTGTCTGTTCGAATAGCTTTAATGCATTTGTTGAACTGTTTTTCCACAAAAGATTTAAACTGAGTAAAAATAGAAAATGTTTCTGATTTCGTTTTCATAGGATAAACCCAGCAGAAACGTGTAAAGTCATCAATGAACAAGAGATAATATCTATAGCCTTTCAAAGAAAGTACAGAAGAAGGTCCCTATACATCACTATGAATTAATTGAAGACGAGAAGTAGTGTTCGGAGAAGCTAAAGAGAAAGGTAATCTATGAGATTTAGCTCGCACGCAGGCAGAGCAATGATTATTTGCAGAAAATTTAAAACTAGATACATAACTAGGAAGCATCTGAAGTGTGGAGGGAGACGCATGACCAAGACGATGATGCCAAACATCTGAAGCAGTTTCAGTTGAATGAAGAGAAACCGGTTGCGATGAACGTTTAAGGAAAGTAGTTGGATTGAGCTTGATGGGATAAAGACCGTGAAGAGATGGACCTCGGAGGAGAATCTTGTTGGTCTGTAAATCCCGTATGACAAAACTATTAGCATCGAATTGAATAGAGCAAGAATTATCCTGAGCTAACTGATTGACAGAGAACAAATTATGAGAGAGATTGGGAACATGTAAAAGTTTTTGAAGGTGAAGCTTACGCGTAGGTGTAGGTAAAATACCCTGTTCAGAATTTGCTATAGCAAGATGTTGGCCATTCCCAACTTGAACCTGTGAGGAGCTATTGTAAGGTTGCGGGAGCTGAAGCTGCTGAAAGTTGGAGGTGAGGTGAGAAGTAGCACCAGAGTCCAGAAACCAGTCATCCGTAGGAGATTGATCAATAAAGAGATAAGCTTGCTGAGGTGGTTGGTATGAGAGATCAGCTCTATACCAGCATTGAAAAGCAGAGTGACCCATTCGAGTACATATTTGGCATTGGACGGAGGAGCGAGGACGACGACCTCCTCGCATAGTGGTATTATAAGTGCGACCTCCTCGAGCAGACTGAGTTGGAGCACGACCGCGTTCAGATGCAGAATTAAAGCTACGCCCACGAGAACGGTCTCTAACAGCTTGAAGAGCAAATGTCCTATCATCAGTAGAAACAGAGGCCTGTTGGATTGGAATCTCAGATTGAAGACTTAGTTCTTCACCACATAGAAGAGAATAAAAATCATCAAGACTGATATGCAGAAGTTGAGTTCTCATGGCTGTCTTGAAGGCATTGTAAGCCGGGGGAAGACCATTAAGCGTATAAAGTAAAATGTCGCCGGAATCAACTGTACAGGCAGAGGCTGTAATAGCATCAACTTTTTGCTTGATGTCTGAAAGGTATTGAACCATAGTTTTATCACCTTTTTGAACATGATGTAGTTCACTTTTAAGTTGCAGTTGCCTGGAACGATTGGTTGATTGTAAACGCTTGTCAATGGTTTCTCAGATGTCGTGACAAGTATCAAGATTCAGAACATAGGGTAGAAGCGATGGAGAAATGGTAGAATAAAGTGCTGAAGCTAAGTTTTGATCAATAAGCATCCATGTTTGAAAAGCCTGATTTGCTGTAACAGTGCCATTACTGGCAATAATTTGTTTTGGTGGCGGAGAAGACGAGCCATCCAAGTAGCCAGCGAAACCATTCGCCGAAAATAGCTTTAATATCTGAGATTTCCAAATAGGATGATTTTCAGTAGTAAGCTGAGTGTTAATGACAGACTTGACATTCATCATTAAGAACTTAAGCTGTGACAGTATTTCCGTGTTGCTCATATTGACCTGAGTCGTAACTTCAGGGATCACTGTAGATGGAGGTTGAGAGGAAGATGATGAATCCATCGAGCTAGATGGTGTTAACCGAATAGCTCTGATACCATGTTGACTTGCTCAATCCAGTGGAAGCTTTAGAACCTGATGCAAGAATCATAAAGCCATAAACAGAGAAAAGCAAAGATAGAAAATAGTAAAGCTGAAGCTTCTCATTGCATTCGATGTCCTACTGAAGCTACAGTAAAGCTTCTCTTAAATAAAGAGAAGATGACTCCAGCCGTTACATCTCAACGGTGGAGATCATGGAGTAGTGGACTGCCATGTGAGCAGATCCTGTAAAAGCTGAAAAGTGTAAGACTGAGTAGTGGAGAGGTGAGCCGTTTTAATGATAAGTGAGAGAACTTATCAACTTGAAATTACTCTTTATCATAATGATTCTAATAGAGGTTCATGATATTTGGTTCCTTGAATTCAAGGTAATATTTATTTGACTTTAGCATATAGCTTAAAAAAACTTAATGTACATATTGTTAGACTAATAATTTTTTAATTTTACAAAAATATTTTTTAGTGGCCGCCCTAACATCATGAAAGGATAAGAATAAATTTTGAATGGCGATGCTCAACATATCTACTATATATATGTTCATAGATGTTTGCAAGTTTGGGGGGAAACCCACATGGATTAGAGTGAATACTTAGACATATTTATACAAAGTTTGGGGCAACCTTAATTATTTCATTAAGAAGGAACTAAATCTAAGTTGCTTTTTATATTTTTGATCTATTTGTAGTTACTTTTGATTTTTTATATTCCTTCATTAGGTTGATGCTATCAAAATTTAAATTAAGGCTTCTCTTTTTTTCCTAACAAAGAGTTTCATGTGGCGTTATTCTATTCTCTGCAAATCTTTTTCTCTATAATCTCTGTACATGATTCTTTTGGCTTGCCATTTTAGGTTCTAAATCCTTCAACACCAATATTTTCCACCAATTTTATTAGTATTTTTTGTACTATTTTTATGCTTCGTTTGAGACGACTTTCTTACTGCTTTTTAAAGCAGTTTTCTCGTACAAAAAAAATTTTGTATTAAAAAGCTGCTTTAGAAAACCGTAAGAAAACTGTCCCAAGCAAAATCTTAGTTGTAGATATTCAAACCCTTAATCTATTTTTTTATTATATTTTCTAAAATAGATGATATTCCAATCATCCATATATATAGTATAATCATTTTTTTTTTGATATTTTTTAATTTTGCCACACAACAATTATAACATTTTCATTTTTTTTTTCTATATTCAACTTGATCGCTAGTGACTTCTTTTCTAGCCAACAGTCACATCCATCTATAGTTAGCCAAACTATAGTTTTACAAGGCTTATGTTTGCACATTAGTGTTTTAGCATGATGTTGAATCTGAAATTGTCAGTCACTACCAACTGTATTGAGAATATTGGCTGAAAGAGGTAGACAAATAGAGAGAAAAGAATTATAGAATAAGTAGCTTTGAGATTTCTATTTGATAAAAAAAATATTTAAATTGAGCACATCTCTTGGCCCCCTGTCTATAGATTTGGTTTGAGGCATGAGTGTTATAGAATTTGTTACATAAAATGGCTATATAGAAAATAAGAAAAAAAATATGAGTTATATAACTTAATATGAATTTACAACTTGATGAAGTCATCTGTCGAGCTATTGAGAAGTTGTTGGCTTGGGCATATATTGACGGAGAAATAGTCGAGTAGCCAATCAAAAGCTTTCCATATGAAGGAAGTTACCCACTTGAATAGTCTCTAGGGTATTCGGCCGACTGATAGGTCGTACACGTCTGCCTAGGAGGACTTCTTAATTCATAGTTGCATGGTCAAGGCCAATTCAATTGTAGACTACAAGTCTCTTTTGTGTTGAGACTGAGTAGTCCGAATTTGTTTGACTTGAAAATTAGGCTGATTTGGCTTGAATCTAATTTTCTGGACATTTGAATATACGCATGTAATAAGAGAAAGCGCCATAAAAGATTTTTATTTTTGTTTTCTAGGTTCTTCTCACAACCATTTGAGGGCAAATTTATTCATGTTTATCTTTCTTTTCAGAATCAAAAATTGATTTTATTGAAATATAAGCTTCGTTTGGGACAGCTCTCTTGCTTCTTTCTAAAGCAGGTTTTTAATACAAAAATTTCTAAACTTTTTTATATCAAAAAAGTGCTTTAGAAAGCAGCAAGAAAGTTTTTCCAAAAGAAGCCATAATTTTTATGAGGCTTTGCTTTGTTCATTACTCGAGCAATACATTTGTGGAACCTTTGAGGTCCTTTAAGTTTTAGTTTTTAAGGAACAGTAGCAAAAGGATGAAATTGACTGGATTAAATCCAGTGGAAGGCATTTGCGGAAGAATAAATGAGAAACATTGAACATGGTTTCTCAACTAATGCACAATTAAAACTTTTAATCCTTCAGCACAATTTTTTTTTTTTTTTGGAAAATTTTAATTTCATCTCTCTTAATGCATAGTTTTGAAATTGAACCTCTAATTTATTTTTATTTGGCTAATTTTCAAGAATATTATTTGCCCAATAAAAAATATGTTATATATATTAGTTCACAATTATGCGAATAAAAACTCAAATATTCTCTCTCAGTTTATGCTCTTATGTCATGATCGTCGAGGCCCTTTTTGATAATAGAGTTGGATTTAAATGTCAAGATGCTCGTACTCTCCGGTCATAGACTTTGTTTGGGACGGCTTTCTTATTGCTTTCTAAAACAGCTTTTTAGTATAAAAATTTGTTGAACTAGAAAGCGGCTCACCAAGAAAGCCTTCCCAAATGAAACTATAATTAGTATGTTCATATTCTTGTCCTCGCCTAAAGAATGTGACTTAACTCTTAACTCGTTATTTTGAAGTAACCATCTTCTTTTTTAATCAATAGACCACACATCTTTTCACAAGGATCATATATTCATTAATCATTTGTTAATGCTACACAACGATGAATTAGAATGTGCTATTATTGACGTTTCAGAAAGGCCTAACTGGGCTTTAATCATGCTACCAAGCCATTTCTTCAAACATAGTGAACATAGATAACTTCGATGCTACTGAATCTTTATGAAAATCTCTTCAAGTGAAGAAACAATATTGCTGTAACATTCCTTCACTAATACTGCATTTTTACTTCTAGCTGCATAATCCAGCGGCATTTTCATTGTTTGATCCAAGAAGGAATTAGCAGTACAGAAATAACAAAACTTTAGAACTTACAGAATGCATCTGTTGGTACTCACCTCAGTGACATTATTGAAGAGATTGCAGTACAGCTTTCTTAGTTCTGGTCTCTGATTCCCTGGTTTGGCTTGAATTATGGTGTATAAGTCTTGTTTGAGGCGAGACGAGCTCTCACGCAGTGTAATCTGTGCTGCCTTCCATGTCTCTGAATCAATGAGAGTTTTTATACTGAGAAGCTCCTGAGCACGGTTCTTTATCCCAGCTTCTGCTTCATTGATCGTCTGGTCAGGAACAGTTATACTGAACTGAAAAGAGAAGGCAATTTTGGAGTCTGAGAAAACTGAGGATGCTAAAGCTATTGCTGTTGCAATTCTTCTTCTAGTGAAGTGATCAGCCTGGAGCTTAAGCGAAGTGTTAACTTTCTTACAGGGGCCATGGATTTGACAAGTGAAGCCTGAAGAGAGCTTTGTTGAATGGAGCTGCATCGCCATTTTGTGCCACCTTTCATCCAATAACTGATACAGCAATTGAGACTGCAGCATTCCTTTAAGGCCATTCATGGTGGATAAGGAATTAAGTTGTCTCTTTAGGTGACCAGTGGTGTACAGCTATTTCTATTTTGCTTAGGAGAGATGTCAGGATTTTGACAGTTTTGCGTAGTTTATATGTATCTGGATAAGGTTTTTTGCACTGTGGAAGCTGAACTGAGAACCACAAGAATAAAAGAGAAAAATATCCAAAAATGTCTAATTCTGATTATGTTGTATAGATTATTAATTATAATGTATTCGCTTCTGCTTTGTTACAAAAGACTGTTATGATAACTTTTTCACTGAGATTTGGCAGTTATGAATTGGAATTTTGATGGCCTGTCTATTGGCGTAGCAAACCTGTGAGAAATTGAAAACAGGGAGCTGAAACAATTAAGTTTTCTTATATATTCCTTTTTTTTTATCTCCTTCACCTATAGTTCTATATTATATCCTCCTCTTCAAACTAGAGAAGTATACTAATATGGTATTAATAGCTAAAAAGCTTAAACATATGGAAAATACAGAAAATAGAAGTATAACATATAATGTAAGAGTGAAGCTGGACCGAATGGTTGTGGTGTGTTGTAGGAGTAGAATAGTCCGCATCCATTCTCCTCTGCTTCAAAAGAGCTCGCAGTCGAGATGAGAAGTCGTGTGTCGTAGTATCAAGTGAAAGATAAGTGTTGATGTCAGATACATTAAAAGCGGAGGATGTCAATGTACCTGATAGAAGATCAAGCATTACCATTGATACGTTCCACAATAAGTATAGGTCCCAATTTGTATGGACTTAATTTGGAGTATGTGCCCGTTAGAAATTGTTCTTTTGCGAAGTCGTACCATAACAAGATCACCTGGGTGAAATGCTTTGCACCAACTGTGAGCATCAACTTGCTGTTTATATTAGGCATTTGATGTAATGAGCGTTGATCGAACTTCTTCCAGCATGGTGTGGATCTCTTCAATTGTGTAGCAGCAGCTTTGCTTAGGCATTTGGCAAGAACAACGATGTCCACTAGATGGTTTGGAACTATTGTATATATAATGTTGAATGTACATTTGTCCGTGGATTTGTTTGCCATGGAGTTGTAAGCAAACTCGGCTTGACAAAGAAATTCATCATGCTATTTTGGATGGTCATGAGCAAGGCATCTTAGCCAATGGCGGAGCCAGAAAATATATCTAGGGGGGGCCTAAATTTTTTTTTTATTTTCGAGACGTTCAGTTTGACTATAAGTTTACTGAAATCGGAGTTCAGATGGTCTCTGATTTAATTTTTGAAGTTTCCAACTTGATTTTGTCATGAGATTAAAAAATAAAAAAATTCAAAATTTTTAGGGGGGCACGTGCCCCCCCTCCCTCCGCCCATGATCTTAGCATATCATCGAGTGTGCGGTTAACAACTTCAATCTGGCCGTCAAACTGAGGGTGATATGTAGAACTCAATTTGATTTGAGTCTTGAAACGCTTCCTCACAAATTTAACATCTCGTTTTGAAGTAATACTACGAGGAATGCTATGAAGTTGAATGATCTCTTTAAAAATAAGAAGAGTGACATTTAAAGCATCAAATGTCTTTTTGCAAGAAACTATCATTTTTGATAAATGATCAACAGTTATTATAATAGAATAAACTCTTTTCATTGTTCGAGGCAAACATAATATGGAATTTATACTTACATCCTTCCAAATTGAATTCAAGATGGGAAGAGGCATGTACAATCTAGTGTTTTGATTGGCGTCTTTATAAAGTTGGCAAACATGACAATGCTCAACAAATCGACAGACATCTCGACGAAGATGTGACCAATAAAAATAGCTTTGTAATTGCTTCAATGTTTTATCATGCTCAATGCACGTAGCCAACCCTTCGCAGTGCAATTCTTTAACCAAATGTTGCTGCAATAAGGAGTTTTAAATGCATAGAATATTACCTTTAAAAAAGAAGCCATGTCGAAGTGAATAATCACTAAAGGGCATAAGTGGTGATTTTTGTAGTTGCTACCATGGGTGGGCAAAGTCTTTATTCTTGGAAAATAATTCAATGAAGAAATCCAGTTCTTTGATAGCTTTTTGCGGTTAAGAAAGAATGATAGTTTTTATGCTAAAGGCACATGAAACCCAATTTTTAGCTCTAGATTTGTGTTACAAAACAAAAATAAATCTTTGTAAGAAAATAACCCATCGAGCATGCATTTTGTTAATATTTTTCTGATTATTCATGAATTGCAGGGCACGATGACCGATGCTAAAAATGAAGTTTTAGTGCAAGGGATAGTGTTCCCAATGCTTTAAGGCACATATTGCAACATATAATTTATGCTCATATACGAATCACTTTGTTGAGCTAGGCTTAACTTCTCACTATAGAATTCTATTGGTTTATCCTCTTGAGATAGAACATCCCCGATGCCCATGGAAGATGCATGTATATCAACATGAAAGGGCTTGTTAAAATCTTGTAATGTTAAGGCTAGAAAAGTGCTTAGTGTTGGTTTTATTATTTCGATGTTGTTTTGCTATTCTTGTACCCATATAAGAGATTTGACTTTAAGATAATTAGTTATCCGTTCCATAAGTATGTTGAAACCATAATGAAATGGTGGTAGAAGTATGCCAGACACTGAACGATGTGCACTTCAAACAAGGTTTGCGAAGGAGGCTAGTTCATTATTGCTGCAATTTCTTGTGGATCCATGTAGAGATGAGGGGATTTTGACCATTTTGACCCACCTTCCTTAGCTTCCATTGACTTGTTGACTTATTGACTAGTCAATGCTGATTAGGATGAAGTTTTGGAAGGTCATGCATGCTTTAGGAAGAGGCTTCAAGGGGTTTGATCTCAATGGTTGGGAATTTGGTTGGAGATTTAACTACAAGCATGGATTTGACTCCTCATGGTGAGTTGACCAAGTCAACCCAACAATGATTTGATTCGTAAAAGTGTTGTAAATGCATGGAACATGCAACCAATTAATTTCAAGAATTTCATTTGGCTTGAAAATGCCTAAAGCATTGGATTTAAATTTGGTTGGATGTATGGTTGATTTGGTCAACTATGATTGACTTGGTCAACAAGGTCAAAGCAAGGGTTAGGATTAGGACCCAATGGAGGTGGTCACATGCAAGGGTGATGTCTCCTTGCATGAAATGCATGTTTGAGCCCTTAAGGGGCATTTTGGTCAACTATAGCTGATTTGGTTAACCAAGTCAAATAAAGACTTGGGTTTGAGTTCAATGTACTCCTAATGATGTCTAGGAGGCTTTATAAGAGGTTCCATGGCTTAGTTTGATTGAGCCATGTTGAAGTTTAGATAAAACTTCAATTTTTCCCTTAAGGGGCTTTGGGGTCAAGTGGGCCCATGGTCAACATTGGGTCAACCAGGGTCCACCAAAAGTTCAATTTTGGGTTTAACATGTCATAAAGATGATAGTGGACATGTTCAAAGGTTTTTGGGAATGCCCCAAGGTCAAATACATAAGATGCAAAGTCCAGTGGTATGGACTATAAATATTTGAAAGTTTTACAACCTTTGGAAATCAATTTAATTTTTGGGGTTAGAGAACTCGGATTGGCTTCAAATATGGAGGTCCGACCCTAGAGACATGCCTAATCAACTTGCAACTGACGGATCATGAATCATATGTCATATGGTTTGGTTATGAGGTGATTGAAAAATTACTCAAAAAGGATTATGGGATAAACTTTTGGCCTTTATGTATCGTTTAAGATCTTGGATTTGATCTTGGTTTGGATTTGATTTTGATTGATGAATCTCATTGAAGAATAAGGTCAACAACATGTGCTAAATATCACTATCTATAATGAAAGTTCAATACTTTAACTATAATAATAATAATAATAATAATAATAATAACAGATATTGAAAACTTTTTTTTTTCAATTTTTTACTATTATATATAGCATTTCTTTCCCTATTTAAATGAACTCAACTTTGTGTAGTTGAATTGATGTAGCTAAGAAAAGCATCAACAAATATTAGTTGTAAATATTTATGGATCTATTAAAGCAAAATCATGTCATCATATGGGTCACCTACAAAATTGCCTTTTATTTCTTACCAATGAGTTAATGTGTCAATTCTAAATTTTTGTAATACATTTACATCAATGCCATGATAGTATAATGATAATATAATAATAGGATGCAAATAATGATGCCAACTTATAATTAGGTAGTCTTAAAAATAGCTCATATAAAGTACTATGCTAAGAAAATTAAAGTGGTCATATTAAAAATGGCATTGATGTAAATGTATACTAAAGTGGGCATATTAAAAATGGCATTAATAAATGATGATTGTCTATATATGGACATTAGAAGAAATATCTAATTAGATTGATTAGTTAGTAGGTTATTCACTTTTTGGTGAACAAGTTCAATTTTTGTTTGGCCAGAGATTGACTTAAAGGTATTCATTTCTAGTGTTTGATAAGTTCCCTTCTTTAATGGGCTAGTAAGAAATTAAGTATAGAACCTATATGTTAGTGTCTGATACACATGCTATTATGTAAAAATTGTTAATCAAATGAGCTAATTATAAGATTAAAAAAAAAAATACAATTGATATGTTTTGAAAAAAATTACTTGATCAACATGAATCTTACAGAAATATTTGATTTGAAAACTTTGAATTAGCTTGAGGACTAATTGAACTCTAATTTTAGCAAATGTATAGTCGAATTGAACGTCTAAACATAACGGACCATTGAATACCATAAATGATCCAATCAAAACTCCAAATGAGTGTCAAGGAAGCATATAAAATTTTTGAGCATTAATTGAGGGACCAAACAATCTCCTTATATTACTTTCTTATATTCAAATCGAGTGGCTTGACGAGACGAATCTAATAAGCTCAAGATCATTCAATTCTGACATAACTAAAGCAGTTAAATTTAGATAAATAATATATAATCACTGGGATCAATGCGATCTCATCTTCCTCAATTATGAGGAAGGATACTCTAATCCCCTAATTTATAGTCAGTGGTGGATCCAGCCTATTTTTTTCAGCGTGGGCAAACATTTGCAATGGCCAATTAGC